GAAGGCATGTCAGAGTATGTCTACTAAGTGATGTTTTATGTAGAAAAGGCACATTTAAGTTCGTCTACTAAGTGATATATTATGTACAGAAGGCATGTCAGAGTACGTCTACTAAGTGATGTTTTATGTAGAAAAGGCACATTTAAGTTCGTCTACTACGTGATATCTTAGGTAGAGAAGGCATTTTAAAGTTCGTCTAAGAAGTACTTTGTTTGTTTTTTTAAATGGTGTTTAAAATTGTCTACTAACATCCTTACCGAGGGACAAATCTGCGGATGACGTCCGGGCATTTCCGTGTAGTTCCTACAAGTGACTAAAATTCATTTTTCAACAAATATTAAAATGACAACAGTGCGACATAACCAGTTAAGAGTTAAAATAATTATATAATCTAATTATTCATAACTTCTTATTACAACGTTACCGTCTGAAACTGTGGCCAAATAATGATTATTAAGCATGAGGTCTATAGGTTTAACTGTTATTTTCACATCAAGTATTCTAAAAACATTTTATCCTTACCAACTTTAATTGGCACACGAGTAGGAATTAACCGCAGAAATTCCGTATATCGTATTTGATTCAACTATATGTGTCACTTTAAACAAATCGCAGGCGACAGCTTACAGCTTTTCAGTTTCTTTTTCACTTATCCTTTCCTTTAGTGCCCAACTTGACTGTTCGACAAAGCTTTACCCGCATTTTCTTGCTTACCGAGACCACCCAAAGCTTTACTTGATCGCATCCAGATGGCACTGTACATAACAGCACAAGAATATCGTGTCACGCAACTGAACATTAGGAAGGGGTAGCCACGCAGAGGTTTGTTGGTGTTACTTACAAGCTCCGAGTGAAAGCCAATTCTGTTGATGTGTGATCGGCTGCTCTGTACTTAAAAGGCTTATTTTAGTTCCCCGTTGCCATGGCGACCAATAATGGCCTGTTGAGATACTCATTAATTGCATTCCGAATGCGAGCTGCAACCACTGCTAAACACATACATATACGAGTGTGTGAATTTGCATGCATTCACACATAGATTTAATATGGGACAAAATCAAAAGCGCCAACAAAACAATACAGATGAGTATTGCTGGTATAAAAATTTTGAAATTTAATGCTTGTTTTGGGAAGACAAGTGTTTACGACTATCAGGAATAGGGTGTGTTTTACGGGTTCTACTAACTTTAATAACTAGATGATAACGGGTATTACAGGATAAGAGAGAGAGAGAGAAAAAGTGTTTACCACAAACAAAGCTAACCGTCATTCACTTGTAAACAACCGTACACACGATATATATGTGATGGTATGAAGTTCCCTCTCCTTCTTACACTCATACATACATACCTCACAAACACGTAGCTTTGTCGCTCACATACATACGAACGTCTCTCTCTCTCTCTCGCGCACACACGCACATATATATTCATACATACACGCTGCTCTGTCACAAACATACAAGTATTAGCATATAGCTCTTTTTTCTCGTAGATTGATAGACACACGTAACTCTTACATACATATACGATAAGTCTGAAGGCTTATATACCCGTGGTGGACACAGCACAGACAGCCAATATGTAGATTCGCGCATAATGATAAGCAAACACAACAGAGATACACGTTTATATATACACGTAACTCTTTCTCCCACGTGCATAGACAAACTAAGCTCCTTTTCTTTCACACGTCCATGTAACTTTCTCACATGGAATACATAAATGCACGTAGCTCTCTCTCTTAAACACAAATACATATATAAATATAGCTCTTTCTCCAAAATACGAAACTTTCTTTCTCGCACATATATAACACAAATAAATACACATAGGTCTCTCAATCACACACATACATACTCATAGCTCTCATTCTCCCTCTTAGATATACACATAAATACACGGCTCTTTCTCGCTTCAGACACATCACATGCAGTGAAAGTTTTATTTTTTTAGTAATTAAAAATATCATAGCTCTCTGGCGAGGCTGGCACAAACACATTATAGTCTCTTGTATATCCGGTTATTTTCCTTTTCAGTCAACATTTTATGAACGTAGTGTTATATTTTATTAACCCTAGCTGTTAGTAAGCTCACGGAACATAGCAGCTTGGGTCATAAAGAATTTCATGATCGAGTGCCTCACGTGTCATGTTCAATGTCTCGTTGATTTCCATGCATATTATGAAAATATCTGAGACGGATGCTACATGCATGCGTGTATTCTTAATGTATCCATACATTTCAAACAATCTTTTAAAACACTTTTAACAGAAGATAAAATAACCATCAGTACATTTAAATTCGAAAATCCTCCTATACACATCATATAGAACATGAAGAGAGTGGGACTGGTTTGTTTGCTTTTTTAATTTCGCGCAAAGCTACACGACGGCTATTTGCAAATCTTGGGATACTCTTTCACTAACGAGTAGTGGGATTGACCGTCATATCATAACGTCGGTTTGGACTGAAATTCGTGTTTTTTCTGTTATTTTTTTTTTCAGTTATCAGCCTATAGTAACCTATATCAACCTTTAGAAAAAAAACGCGATTTCTTTTAACACCACAGGCGGATAAAACTTATTCATCTGCAATTAACCTTGAATTGCATTGTTCAAATACTTATCCAATGATGAGAGTAACTTTGCAGCTTTACAAAAAGAGTTTTTCTTTATGCTTCACTACTAAACAATAAAAAAGCAAATAGAATATTGAAATACAGGTTACAATGCTATTTGAGATTTAATTTGGGAGGTGTGAAGATTCTTACCAAGGTCCAGGGGCATCGTAGCCCCTGGAAGCTTTTTCATTTTCTAAAATGGAAGGGGAAAAAGCGCTACTATGATAAGTTTTGCTAAGATTAAGAACATCAGTCACATTTCTTGTTGTTTTCCCTCGGTTATCGATATAATTTTACTCACCAATATTATTAAGATAAAGAACATCAGTCACATTTCTTGTTGTTTTCCCTCGGTTATCGATATAATTTTACTCACCAATATTATTAAGATCAAGAACACCAGTCACATTTCTTGTTGTTTTCCCTAAGTTATCGATATAATTTTACTCACCAATGTTATTAAGATCAAGAACATCAGTCACATTTCTTGTTGTTTTCCCTCGGTTATCGATATAATTTTACTCACCAATGTTATTAAGATCA